TAGTAGTAGTAGTAGTAGTAGTAGTAGCAGTAGTAGTAGCAGTAGTAGCATAGGAGTAGTAGTATAGGATCTGAGACTGCAAATGAGCATCTGAACCAGGTTCGACGAAACTGGGAGAAGTAGACTCTTCTTCTGCCGCCCTGGCAATACAATCGAGATGCGAAAATCAGGTCAAACCAATTCTTCTGGAGAAATTCTTCTTATAGATTCTCATAACTGGTAAATTTTCATTTTGGCTTTAATTAGATGGTCTAGCTGAAGGATTTTCTTTACTTCCAGATAACTCCTACTCATCCGGAAGGCTGGATGAAAACATTTCATTCGTCCCTGCTATGCCATCATCCTCATTATCATCATCATCAGCAGCAGTCGTACCAACCGCTTTACTTGACTTTGCCCCAAAACAGCATTAGTTAATAGGCATTTTGCAATAATTCACCTTGAAGATGAAGAAGGGAAACAGTTCAAAAAGCCCAAGTACTACGAGGCAGATGGGTTGGTGCGCTGATCGGTGCGATGAGATGTTGCCAACAGTGAAGTGTAACGAAGGTGACTTCAATCCCACCTGGACCGTCACGAAGGCGTCTCGTCCGAGCTGATGTGTCGCCGCCGCCGCCGCCTCATTGACAAGGCCAGAGTGTATATTGTGACCAAGGCAAGCTGGTGGCCAAGCCAGTCCCGACAGTCCGGTTTGGTGGAAATGGCGGTGGTGTTGTTGGTGTTGTTGGTGTCGGTGCCAATGGCGTGCTGGTGATGCCGGCATGACTGTCTCGCTTTGAGGGGTTGGCGAGGCCTGCAGTTAAGGCGCTCGATTGGCTCCATTGCGTCTGTCAACCTGAGTCCTGTCGCATTGTTCCAATCTTCCTGTGTGCGTGCTAGTGCTGGTAATGACGATGATGGCGGAAATGGTGGTGGTGGTGGTGGTGGTTGTTGTGGCGTCGATGTTTGTATGTGTGCGTGAGGTCTGCGTGATAATTGTCAATTGATTCTGCAAGTCTGACCCTCGCGTCGGATCCACACGCTGCGAGGACGAAGAAGAGAAGGGCTTTCAGCCTTCGGTTAAGTGAGAGCAAACTCGCCAAGGCCTGAGAAGGCGTTTGAACAGAGGCACTGAGTGAGTATTGATCGAGCGAAGGTTTCCTATCCACTTCTTCATTCTCTCGTTATGCATCGCCATTCTGTCCGCTCATTCAACGCATGGCCCTGAAAATTTCCCCGCCCCGCCCTGTTTGTCCATGCGTCATCCGACGACTCTGCCGCATTGCTAAGCGCCATTCAGTCCGTCTGTCTGTGTGTACATCAACTCATTCAGCACCCGCCGGCCAGTCGACCGTCCGTCCTTTGCTTCATTTCACAGCCAGCAGGTCAGCTGAGCAGACAGACGTCTGGCTGACGTCCTGTCGCTAGCACACATGGACAGACAAACCCACAATCCAAAGACACGAAACAGATATGCAGATATACAAATAGACATACGGACAGATGTACATTCCGACACAAGGCAGACGGTCACACAAACAAATACAGATGAACATGCACACAGACGAACAATGCGTTTTGACCATGGCTGCGTTCACTCAGCCACCACGTTTGGTCTTTCTGTGCGACTCGCTTCACCCAGTGCAACATGAGTGCAATGACAAAGCGTCGATGACTTGTATCGATTGCGCTCGGTTTTCGCACAGTCGCCTGCTTCACCGACCAGCCAAAGGTGTATGCCCCGACGCCAGATCGTGCAAGGCGGAGAGCCGAGTCGGAGGGCGCCCGATGAGTCTATTGCAGGCCGACTTCCTTTTGCTCGCCTCCGCAGCGGCGAGCCCACATAAGCGTGGATAGTTTGCACGCCGAACCACATCCACAACCACAACCACAACCACAATCACAGCCACAACCATAACCATAATCCAGGCAGCCAGCAGCAATACCAGCACCACTGCCAACATAACAACAATATGATTACCAATCCACTCACACTAACCAACACCAGCATCACCACCAAAG